TTTATACAACCCAGGACACCTACCCAAAGGTGGTACCATCCACAGCGAACTGTGCTTTGTTGGCAAGACAAGCGAAGTGGAGACCCATCCTCTAGTCTCCAGTGGTAGGTCACACAAGTCCCTACAACTGTGAGAAGAGAATTGGTGTGGGCAAACTAAAGCACAGTTCTTTCCAAACATGTTAGACGGTGAAAAGCCTCAAAGACAGTGGCTCCCTCTGGAGCAAAAGTCAGATAGATCGGTTGTTCAACATAGTAAAGATAATCTATTCTTTCAGAGCAACAGGGACAAGTCAAGTTACAGCCTTATGGAGAAATTTTATAAAGATTTCGGGCCCTCAACCCATTTTCCTTGGCTCTGATACAAGTTTGCAACATGCATAGCCTGTATCTGGCCTTCCTTTCCTCACCCTAAGAGAGGAGAAGAGAACCCCGTGCAAAAACATGAAGCCGTGCTGCTGATGGGCACTGGGGAGATTAGCCCCTTAGTCTCTGACGCAGGAGTCGGGGGTCTTCAGCTGCTTAAACAGCAGGCCAACTTGTCACTTTGCAGAGAATAAACTCTCAAGATTTTTCAGTTCTTTTAAAATTAAAAACATTAAATTCTGCCGTCTGTGTGTGACTTGTGTCCCGACATGTGTAAGGAATACAGAGTACCTTCTGGAATTAGCTCTCTCACCCACTGTGAAATCGAACTCAGGTCTCTTTCTATCGGTGGAGCCGTCCTGCCTGCCTACCCCACAGCTCTTGTCCACCGCCCTCTTTCAATCTTTGTAACGGGGCTGTGAGTTCCCTCTTGCCACTTTTCCTCTTCTAGAATAGCGCATATGTGGAGTATGGGGTCTTGCTATACAGCTCTGGCTGGCTCGGAACTCACTATGGAGACCACATACTGGTCTGTGAGTACTGCCTCTGTCCCGGGCGCTGTGATTAGAGGCATGAGCCACAAGGCCCAGCTTTGGCCTTCGATCACCAGGAATTCTCCTAAAAGTGGTAAGAGGGCATGCGTGGTAGCAGCACCAACAGTGGGTGGACTGGGATGGAGGACCTAAGTCGAAGGACAGTCTGGTCTGTACAGAGTGACTCTACCTCAGACTTCTGGCAATTTCTTATCTTCGGTGGGAGTATCTATTAATCAAGAAATCAATCTACAATCAGCTTCCTCGCCGTACTGTTCCTCTCACTGAAACCAGTGGAGGGGGTTTTCTGTTGTTTTTGCGGATGCAGCTCAGCCTGGCCTCAAACTCGCCTCGGGTGCATGGATTACAAATTCACTATCCTCCCCTAGTGGCTGGATACACGGAAGCACCAAGGGCCTGAGGGTGTTTTAGAGCTTATTTTTCCTGGTGATTAGGGTTAGAATCCCTTCGATGGAAGGTTATTAAGCAGTCTACTGATAAAGATAGCTCCACTGATAAAGATAGCTCCGAAGGGTAGCACCCACCCCCTTCTTCCTTTGAGGCTCACCCGCACTTCATATCATTCTGAAAAGCAATCTTTTAAAGATTTTTTAAAATATTTATTTCCAGTGTTCTGTCTGCATATATGCCTGCAGGCAAGAAGAGGGCACCAGACCTCATTACAGATGGTTGTGAATCACCATGTGATTGCTGGGAATTGAACTCAGGACCTTTGGAAGAGCAGACAGTGCTCTTAACGGCTGAGCTATTCCTCCAGCCTCTGAAAAGCAACTTTTTTATTGCTGTAACTTATTTTTGAAATCCTAGGGGTTGATTTAGGGCCTCATATCCCAGACGAGCGTTTAAGCACAGATGCAGAAGCCAGCCCCTGAAAAAGACTTCATAGCCTCCGTTCTTGGTGGATTTGGCTCTATAGCTGGGGCTTTGCTCTTTCTGTCCTGGAATTCTCAACAGGTATCCCAAAGGACTAGCATGGCCTTCTCACACACGCACCGTCACACAGCAGTGACGTGTTTCAGTGACGAGCTGCTGACATGTACATCTGACTGAGTCACTTTACCGCCCGACGCAGCAGAGATTCCTTCTGGTTTCCACTATCACCAACTTTCTCTGCTTGACAGGAACTTGGTTTTGTTTGTACTGAGTGTTTCCTGGGAGCCCACTGGGAGGAGCACAGGATGGCAGTGCTTGTGTCTACATTGCTAATTATCATCTATTTGTAAGAGATGGGAAAACAGGACCAAGAAGGGGTGTGGTACTGTCCATGAAACCTGCTCTTGGGGTCACCGGAAGATTCCAACATCAGCAAGCTCTAAAAGGCTGAGCTGTTGGGCAGAGGCCAGGCACTGCGGTGGGCACACCACATGTCTCTCAGGATGGCAGGGGCATGGCAGGGCAGCAACTGTGACCCTTTACTGTGGGAGTCTTCTTTGGAGTTTACTACAGGGGAAGCCCTGGTTGGGTGAGTAACCCGATTACATCAAACATCTCACACGGAACCTTTATTGCCTGGAAGCCCAGAATTACGATAGAAGTGACACAGCAGGATTTCCAAGGGAGACTCCAGCCGAGACGGTACCTGAGGTGGGGGAACCCTCAGAGGGCATTCGTAATGAGAACGGAGGCTGCTTCCAGCTCTTTCTGACATGCTGGTGGAACCATGTTACTTGCCAACGCAGGTCAACCACCCAGTGCACGCTGCACTACCTTAGACTCTTCCCGACGTCGATCCTATCAGCTAGAGATCGTGACTTGTTTTTCTTCCACCGTCCCCCAAATGCCACACAGCACTCTATTCTTTAGTGAGCCGTTTACTAGCATGGTAAAGAAGGAAGCCTTTCTGACCCACAGTAAGAACGGGAATGCTACTTTCTAGTGCCACAGCTGAACACAGTAGGATTTATTTTTAAGATAAAAGGTTAAAAAAAGAAGGTTATATTTTGATAAATCACACCTTGGAATAAGTTGGTAAATGACTGAAGTATACAACTTTAATTTTTTTTTTACAGCATTAAAAAAATAAACACAAGAGAACAAACACCCTAACAATCTGACCTAGCTGCTGGAGGCTATGCCCGATGTGCAGGGTCTACATGAGAAAATCTGTTAGCTGCACACTGCTTACAAGAGAATTCACAGAACACCAACTCTGCGGGGTGTCTGTGAATAGGCACTTCCATTGTCTGTGCTCAGTATTTCCCCAGTTTTTGTGGGCAGCCGTACTTACCTTGTCACAGAGTTTCATATCTCAAACACAATCATGTTCTTAAAATAACCCCGCAAGTCTTCCTTCTCCCGAGCCTGCAGCGGTATGGTCAGGTGGGCAGTTTTTACAAACGCTGCTCTGTTGTGGCCCTGGTCAACCTGCATCTCTGCTAGGTCACAGAGACCTCGACATGCAGCCTTCGGTTCCTACTGGGTGACCTCAGAATTCCCTTTTCTGGGGCAGCCGCTCAGAGGGACTGGCAGGGACTGTGCGTTTTCAAAGCACGCATGCATGTTCGTTTCTCATCCTCAGGAGCAAATGTGGCCGTCAATCACCTCTGCTGAGCTCACAGTGGGGGCCCGGCAGGGAGAAAAACCTCAGCTTCACATTCCCCCCCAACTTCTGTCGGACTCTCTAGCCACACCATACCTTTAGTTCCCGGGGTCCGTGTGCTCCTGAGTTACTCCTTCTAGAAAAGGAAATGATACAATCCACTTATTAGACTTCCAGACACGACAATGGAACTTGTTATCAAACGAGGAATGTTATCTTTCCCCCTCTTTTCTAAAATCGTGTAAAAATAACTCTAAGTTTCTTTTTCTGATGCTGAGATGGGGTGAACCTGCTAAAGTTTTTAATAGAACTTAACAACCACATATGTAAGAAATCCTGCCTGAGTGAGGCTATACCACTACATACGACTTCTTATTTTTATACATACCAGTTTCTTATTGCAATTCATATTTACTGACACTAAACTGAGGAAAAGGAGATCCTCAATTTTCAAAAAAATTTCATGTAAGAAAACATAACTTCTTAGTGTTCTTTAGCAATCTAAACCAAAGATCAACATATAGAAACTGTTTAGAATTGAATGTTGCAAACTGAAAAACCACTTAGGGAACTTGTTGAGAAATCTCTATCCACCACATTGCCAACTGGTGCAGCCACTCTGGCAATCAGTGTGACTTCTCCAAAAGCTAAAACCCCATCCCCCTTACGACCCAGTGATCCCGCTCCTTGGCATGCGCCCCAAGAACTCGGCATCCTATTCCAGACACTTGCTTAGCCATGCTCACTGCTGCTCTATTCATAATAGCTTGGAAGCTGAAGCAGCCTAAATGTCCTTCAACTAACAAAGGGATAATGAAAATGTGTGACGTAGGCACTGTGGAATATCATTCAGCAGTAAAGAAAGATGGAATCAAGAAACTTGCAGGTAAATGTATCAAGTGAGGTAACCCAGACCCGGAAAGACAAAGGCCCATCTATCTTCTCTCTCATCTGAGGTCCCAGCTCCAAGTCTGCAGAGGTGGGTATATGACCTAGAGTAACGTTAACTTCCAGGCCTGTGTGCACAGTGCCTAGTCTCGGCGGCTGAGAATGCCGAGGAAGAATCCATGGCCCTTGCTTCTTTCTTGTCTCCGGAAACCCACACCTGCCAAGTTTGGCTGAGCGCTTGGGGTGAACCCTCACTTATTCCGGACACAGTGGTAGCAGCCTTTCTGAGAGGGTGAAAACACTCCCTATTTATTGTTTTCTGTGAGCAGTGAAACCTTTAATGTCACCCCTACCACACACACACACACCCCACCCCTACCACACACACCCCTCACCCCTACCACACACACAAACACACACATCACCACTACCCCCTCCCACTAGCGCATATGCACACATACACACCACCCCTGCCCCCCACCCCTACCACACACACCCCACCCCTACCACACACACCCCTCACCCCTACCATACACACAAACACATACACACACCACTCCTACCCCTCCCACTAGCGCATATGCACACATACACACCACCCCTGCCCCCTACCCCTACCACCCACCCACCCACCCCCACACACACACCCCAGAATCGGAGCCTTAGCTGGGTGGGATCTTGCCTGTGACAGTACACGGTACAGTCAGGGGCTTCTCTTTAAGGGCTCCAGTTCCTTTAACAGCTACAGTCTTAGCACAAGTCCTGGCTGCAATCGTAAGATGTTTCCTCTCCCACTTGTTGCTTCACTGCAGATTTTCAGAAGAGTGACCAGCAAGAACTATTTCACACAAGTCCATGTCGGGAGGGCTTGAAATTCCCATTACTAAAATTAGCCCATTGCTTTTAAATTCAGCTTCATGCAAATTCTCAAACACAGGTGGGATGCAGTCAGTTTCTTTTCCAGAACATCACATGACTAGCCTGCAGGCCAGCTGCTACCTAGTCCTCAGGAGCTAGTCTCTACTGTCTGCATTATATTGGCATTCTTATATTTTACTCCAGTCTTTGGGATAGGGTCTCACTATGTAGCCTTGGCTGGCCTGGAACTCACTAGACCAGACTGGTCTCGAACTCTATAGAGATCCACCTGCCTCTGCCTCTGCCTCCCCAAGTGCTGGGGTTAAAGTTACTCAACTTCTCTCTGCTTTACCTTCCAAGCTCCTCCTGGAACAACCTGTTAAACTCTGCCACTAACGACTATGACTTTCCAAAAGAGTTCCAAAATCTTCCAAACAATGTCATTGTGTGCTCAACTCCGTGACCCTACGGGAGCCATTTCTGCTCAAGCCATCGCAGCGCCTGTGCAGACTGAGGAAGCAGGCTCAGTGAGCACACTGGAAAAGCTGGACAGCAGGAAGGCTTACATACGGCAGCTACGAAAAAGGACCAGCCTCTGTGTGGGCCGGCGAGACAGCGGATTAAAAACTGGAAGATGGGGGCTGGAGAGATGGCTCAGTGGTTAAGAGCACTGCCTGATCTTCCAAAGGTCCTGAGTTCAATTCCCAGAGACCGCATGGTGACTCACAACCATTTGTAATGGGGTCTGGTGCCCTCTTCTGGCCTGCAGGCATACATGCAGTGAGAATACTGTATACATAATAAATAAATAAATCTTAAAAAAAAGAGAAAAAGACGTGGTGGTACACAGAAATTTAAAAAAAAAAAACTGGAAGATGTTGAATTTTATCTCTAACTATGAGGATAAGCCAAAAGTGTGAGGCAGAGGGTGTTTCCTTTGTCTAAAAATGTGCTATTTTTGCCCAGTATAAACACCTGGACTGGAGCATTTTTGAAAGGGAATTCAATCATAACTGTAGTGTTAGAGCCAGACAGCCTGTAAATAATTTCAACCGGAAAAGTGAGCTGTGTACAGGAAGTAAGTCTGGGAAGAATGAATCTGCTGGTAACAAATCCTCAGCTTTCTTTACTTCAAGTCTTCGTTTCCCACAGCGAGCTCTGCCTCTTAATAAGCATGGCTCCAGGCTCACAGAAAAATCACTGGCTCAGCTTGTCTGGGAAGACCAGTTGCAATTTTATTTTATTTTTGCTTTGTTTGACAGGATCTCACCGCTAGGCTGGCCTCAAATGCACAGCAATCTTCCTGCCTCAGCCTCCAGAACATTGGGATTTCAGACATGATATGCCACACCTGATAGGTTCCTAATTTCTATTTTTCATTTCAGAAGGAGTCCAGCTTCTATCATAGTCTGTTGTGATAACTGCTTGTATATCATATTTTTGGATTGGCCATTATGTTTCTATATTTATAAATAAAAAAAAGTTCATTTGCTCAAAGCCACTGATACTATTTAAATTTAAGTCAGGTGTGCTAGCCTAGACCTATATTCCTAACCCCTGGCAGGTAGAGACAGGAGGCTCAGGGGTTCTACGTCAGCCTATTATTACATGACAAATGACAACCCCATGTAAAAAACCAAAACAATTCCTATAAATGTTTAAATCATTGACACTTTATAATCCCCAAAATGCTGACAAAATTACCAACAAGTTTTGGCCTAGCAGCAAATCCATAGCACTCCACCCTTCCTAGTACAATGTCTCCGCTGTGTCACTGTGGCGGCGGTGGCATCGATGGCGGGATTGCGCGTGTAGCTTGTTTCACTACTCTAAGACGCAGGCGGCTGAAAGGAACGAACACCTTTACTTATGCCGCACTGGGAAGAGACCGCCAGTCAGCCTGGTTCACCCACCTGGCATGTTTCTACTCCCAAAGATATTAAAATGTGAAGATACGTATCTCAAAAATCAACGAAACAGGCCGCTTATTTCAATTCTGAACACCTATTACTATTTCTTCACTCTCGTCTTTCACATAAATAAGTCATGGTTTAGTTATGCAAAGCAAACTTTATTTCTGCTATGGATGACAACATATTTCTCTATGAAAGGTTTATTTCTGCTGTTCACAACAACATATTCTTCCAGGAAACAATTGCTATATTAGTTTACCAGGACGGTCGGACAGAAATACAAGTCAGAAATCCCAGGAAGCAATGGTGTGCAGACTATCAGATATGTGAAAAAAAGAAAAAAAAGCTGTCAACTGTCCACAGGGAGTTCGTCCAGTCACATGTTTCAGTCAGTCAGCTGAGGACTATGTCATTAGTTAGTCTCTGTTCTGTAGAAAGAACACAATACAGGTAAGAAGATCATCACCTGGAAGGGAATAGCTTTCGTAGTTAGTGTTCCCAAACTGTCGGGGACTCGCTAGCTTCTACACAGCCAGTCTGAGCCGTTCAATCATAAACGCCACCAAGTAAACAAAACCAAACTTACTCAGAAAGATGGAGCCCGCAGGGACTGGATTTCTAGAGGGAAAGTTCTGTGAATTAACTTAGAACAAGATGCTGTGAAATATTAAAATTTCTATTTGCCTCAAATAGAAAGAGAAAAAAATTATAAACACAAAACTTATCTCCAAATAAAGTTCAACTACATTCAACATTAACTCTTAACCAGATTCTTATTTCTTAGGTGTGGCTCATTTAGTCCCAGGTGTATTCCTGGAAACAAAAGCAACCAGCATTCAAGAGCCCTTGTACCAACCACACCAAAGAAGTTCTTCCTGTTACAGCCATGGAAAGTGCCGGGGTCTACCACACTACTGTGCTGAACCTGAAAACGAGATCATCACTGACAGACAGGCTCTCACAATGTCTTCCAGGCTGGCCGTCCACTCTTGATTTACTTGACTCTCCGGCCTCAGTCTCCCAAGAAGGGCAACTATAGGTTCAGGCCACCAAACTTGGCCAGTATAATTACTTAATGCAACCCAAAAGGTAGAAAGTTTCACTGTGATAGCCGAGGTAAACAGAGGGTGGGTAGCAAAAATCAATGCCATGGTGCATCAGAAGACACCCAAATTGTAGCTATGTCTATCCTAACCACGTTACCATTTTCAAGTTATAGGACCTCTTTTGACTCTGCCCTGAAAATGTATCTTGATTCAATAATGAGAAAGGGCCAGATTCCTGCTGTTCTGGCTAGTCATGCCGACAGCTGTGCGGTTCCTCTGACTGGGAAGCCAGTTGAGCGCACAGCAGCGTGAAGAAGCTGCCATAGTTTAGAGCTTGGGTCTCAGCGTCCCAGGGGCCTGGGAGGTAGTTGTGCACCATCCCTGGACGGGAGGACATCTGAAAGGCTGTGCTAAAGCCACATGTGTCTGAGTCTGAGTCCCATTTACAAAGCCTTTATTTTGGTCTATCAGGGATGCTGCTGTCTCCGGGCCTCACGGCAGATCTAGCAGAAAACCAGGCCTCTGACGTGAAGGGATCTACACAGACTTAAGTATTAGAGGTGGATCTAGTCCAAGTCTGCTGCAAGCTCGTTCACACTCTCTAACGCTCTCCCCCCACACCCACGCTAACCTCAGCCAGCATTTCTGCTCCAGTATCCCGAGTGCTGAGATTATAGGCCAACAATTCCCTTTAAAATGTAAATTATCATTGAGAAAGGCTCAACTATGAGAGTACTTCATGCATTTTCTTGTACTAGGAAGTTAATATTATTGCCCCTTTAGAGGACAAAGATATCCTGAACAAAAACAGTCATTGTCACTGATATGCTGAAACATTTAGACATAGGGTAAGTGTAATCTTTGCAGAACATTTTTATTTCTGTTTATTTAAACAGAATTAAATTAATATTTTTTAGTAAGCAAAATTTGCTTGCTAATTCTCTTTCAATGGTAACTTAATATTTTTAGAGCTAAACTGGCAAGTGTTTGAAGTAATGAGTGTAGATTTTGTCATTAAATAAGACATTCAAGAGCATTTTTAAGGTGGGCATTTCTCACTGCCAAATGACTTCTATGAGGGAGGAACTAACAACTTGCTTTGCTTTACAAAAGCAGGGTCCTCAGTGGTGAGGCCTACAGTGATTAATTCTGACAGCAACGAACCGGACACAGCTGACACGTAGCAGGGCCGGGGAGGTGATGAGTGTAGGAAACAGGAAAGAGATTGTCCTGGAAACTCAGAATTCATTAGAGTAAAACAATCTAAAGATGACGTCTCCCTAAAGTCATAGCTAAAACCCACCACAGGAAAAGACTGAGTTTTAAAAATGACTCAATACAACAATGAATCCCTGTGTTGTTCAGTATTCGTGAGAAAGAAGGGTTTAGCACTGGTCAGAGTTCTCTAGAAATACATAGATGCACGTAAGTTTGAGTTCAGAAAGACACCAATATTTAGGTTTAAAAGGTCTAAATATATATATTATTCCATACTGTTTCTTGTTAGTAGGAAGTCAGAAGATTACTTTTTAAAGACATATCTATTATTAAGTATTTATGTGTCTGTCTGTGGGTGTGTATGCAGGACTGAATGTGTGCAGAGTTCAGAAGAGGGCACTGGATTGCCCTAGACCTTTAGGTACACAGAGGTGGCTATCAGCAGCCTGACGTGAGTCCCCTGGAAGAACAGCAAGCACCCTCAGCAGCCAAACTCTCTTTCCAGCCCTGACTTTAAACTATTTTTTTTTAAATTTAACTAATATATTGGCCAGGCAGTGGTGCACACCTATAATCCCAGCATTTGGGAGGCAGAAGCAGGAGGATCTCTGCATGTCCGAGGCCAGCCTGAGCTACAGAGCAAGTTCTAGGACAGGCTCCAAAGCTACAGAGAAACCTTGTCTCGAACCACCCCCCCCCCCAAATAAACAAACAAATAAATAAATTACAAAAAAAACTTGGCTTTATTTATAGGGTTTAAGCCAACATGGTTTTAACTAGCTTCTAAAGTCCCCAAAGGAAAATCACAAGTAAAGTACTTACAGACATTATTCCTGCTAAACTCCTTGGCTAGCAGGTAAGAAAGACTTACCAAGACTCAGTAAGTTCTCTGCCTCTTTTTGGGTTCCTCCCGTGGGGAATCGGCCAGCATGACTTTCAGTCTGACCCCGTTCAGAATCTTCCCGTGCAGGGTTGTGATTGCATCGTTGGCACTTATCCTATCTGCGTACTTGACGTAGCCCACGTTTTTTCCTGACACAAGGTAAACTTCGATCAGGTTACCGAAACGGCTGAAACACAGTAAAAGACCCGAGCATCAGAAATAGACGGACGTGCTCAGGAAGTTTTAAATACAGCAAGTTCTTGACCCTTCCCCAGCGCCTATGGCCAACACCCGGCTGCATCAGGTACTCTCTTAGCTCTGCCAGGGGGCTCCCTTCTCTCCAACAGCCTCTTCATCTTTTCCTCACTCCAACATGCTCTTCCCGCCTCTGTTTACTGCACGGCTGCCCTCCCTCCAAACTCTAATGCTTTCCTCAGGTTACCCCATGGCTGCCCTCCTTTCCAACTCTAACGCTTTCCTCAGGTTACCCCATGGCTGCCCTCCCTCCCCACTCAGGTTACCCCACAGCTGCCCTCCTTTCCGACTCTATTGCTTTCCTCAGGCTACGCCAAGGCTGCCCTCAAGGGTTCCACTTTGCCTCCCAGGTGAGCATGAACTTAACTTTCAGGACAATAATAAAATGTTTGCTTACGTCACAATTAGCACCCCAGTCCAGGGGCTGCCTGGCACAGAGAAGCGGCTCAAAAACAAAACCAAACCTAAAGCTAAATTAATCAGTTACATGACGGTCGACATACTATCACTACATGCCTGATACTGTGTGGATCTTGAACATGCTCTTATCTGCTTACCTCACTAATATTCTTTGAAGGCAAAAGGAAAATGTCTTTTTAAAAAAAACGCTAGGGGGCTGGAGAGATGGCTCAGAGGTTAAGAGCATTGCCTGCTCTTCCAAAGGTCCTGAGTTCAATTCCCAGCAACCACATGGTAGCCACAACCATCTGTAATGAGATATGGTGCCCTCTTCTGGACTGTAGGCATACAAGCAGGCAAAACACAGTATATATAATGAATAAATGAATCTTTAAAAAAAAGAACGCTAGGGTAAAAAAAAGGGTAGGGTAGATATAGTTATATTAAAATAAGAGAAACTGGCATTTCCCCCTCCCCTTTCCTTTCTACACTTATTACATATTATCCCCTATAACCAAGTGATTTGCTCTACACGACATAATCCTCAGGAGCCAATCAAGATCTTTAGCAAACGTTCATCCGCCTGGATCACAACACGGGGAAAACGGAATGCGCAGACAGGCCTATGCGAGCATCTTCTCCCAAGGGACGAGGGATCTGTCCAGTCTACACCGCAGTTCTTAAAGACCATCCTGCGTGTCTTATGTCTTCAAAACGGGGGGGTGGGGGGAACCAGGAAATTCTGGTAGAGGTTAGGATCTGTGCCCAACAAAGGAGTGAATTTTTTTGAAATTTCTGCCCTGGCAATGCTGAAGCACACATGGGCAGCCCATATATGGCGGTTCTGTTGAACTCTTCCTTATTGGGTTTCATTCATGGTCTAAGCTGATGAGGACAACTGATCGACCAGGTCTCTTCCTCAAGAGGGCACCAGATCCCATTACAGATGGTTGTGAGCCACCATGTGGTTGCTGGGATTAGAACCGCTGAGCCAGGGGGGTGCAGCAAAGGAAATGATGTAAATTGAAAAGACCACTAAGGAGTCTTTAAAACCTCAGAACAGACAGTTTCTCAGTGGTGGGATTAAGAGAACAGTGGTTACTTGCTTAAATGCATCGAATGTACTTGTTTTTACCTACCGACGTGTGGCTTTGTAGAAGCGAATCTTACCAGAATATATCCTCCAGCACGTCTAATGGCAAAGGATGAGGATTAAACACGATAAAAAGTCTCTCTTTCACGGGCGTTTCGGGAGGGGCTTTCTTTTTGCACGACGGGAGTGCAACATCTGTCTGGATTTGCGGCACCTGTGACCCAGAACTTCCTCCGAACTGCTGCGGAAGAGCAGGCACAGAGAGGAGAGAAATAAGATCGCTCTTTGGGGATTCGGGGCCCAGAGCTAAGATGTACGTCACAGCCCCATGAGGTCTTTACAATAAGTTCTGAAAATGGTTTCTTTGTTAATAAACAGATATCATATTTGCTGACCGCATCACAGAGGTCACATTCTCACACACTCACCAGAAACTGCTGCTGACTTGGGTCACTCCACACCATTGACGTGAGCTGTGACGTCACCATCTGGGTGGCCATTTTTCTGATGAGACTGGAAAGAACAACCAACAATTTACAGAAAACTAGGAATAGTGACCATCTTAAGGGTGACTTGCTTGGTGTGACCTCCTCACCCGAGGTTAACTGTTTGTTCCTAGTCAACAAGCCACTGTCCTGTCCACCCACACTAGCACATTCCCGGAATGCTACTTACTCTGCCGCGTTACTTCCGTCATCCAGGAAGGAGACCCCTAGCCGATTCCCAGGGGGGTACTGGAATCCGTGCAATTTGTATTTTGCATAAATAGCAGATGCTACATTAAAATACTGAACCACACCATGACCTGAAATAGAAAAAGCAGAGATGGAAAAGGTAGAAGATGGCGGGTATCCATAAGGCTCAAGTTACAATGGACTTGAAGGTGAAAAATACAGAACTCTGATGATCACACAACTAATAAAGATGAAATCCAAGGGAACAGAGGGCAAAGCTCTGTTAAACACACATGCAATATTATCTGTAGGCATTAAAGTGTAAGTCAAATTTTGGTCAAACAGAAACATAGTACTTTAAGAAAATATGGTCCCAGCATATATTTCATCCAATGAATTGAATTTTAAGACACCCCCCCCCCCCCCCCCGTTTCTCAGCAGGAACTCGATATGTAAGCCAAGCCAGGGCCTTTAGTTTACAATCCCACTGCCTCTGTGTCCCAGTGAGGACTGGGACTACAGGCACTCACCACCAGGCCCAGCTTAAAAATTTTAATAGAATATCAATATACATAAAAACCAGAACTCTTTTTTTTTGTTATTGTTTTAATTTTTGTTTTTCGAGACAGGGCTTCTCTGTAGTTTTAGAGCCTGTCCTGGAACTAGCTCTTGTAGACCAGGCCGGCCTTGTACTAGAGATCCACCTGCCTCTGCTGGTGGGATTAGAGGCGTGCGCCACCACCATCTGGCAAAAAGCGGAAATCCTTAATTCATTGAAATGAGGAGTTTCCCGTTAGTTACACTGTACACTTAGCTGGCTGAGACATCAGAGGAAGGTGGTGTCTGAATCTGATACATCTTATTCTGCAGCAAATCTGAGATGTACAGAGATGCATAGCCCTTAGGACGCAAGAGAGTTTAAGAAAAGGAGACTTGGAGGGTGCCTGGGGAGGAAACCTTAAGCATTTTTTAACTTTGCTAGCATCAATCCAAAGGGTAAAAACAGACCTAGACTGGGCACTGTTGTTCAACAGTGGGATAGAGAGTCCTTTATTTTGTGAGTTAAAATATTTTTACAGCGAATGACTTTTATAAAGAAGATACATTCTCGGGAATTTATTTACAAAGGTATCCTTGGATTTAACTATAAAGTAGAAAAAAAGGATCTGGAGAGGGTAATGGGTAGTAATGAGATTAAAGTACATGGTATACCTAAAGAAAACCATCTTTGTGAAAATAATTACTGTACAGTAAACATATGTATGTTTAACAAAAGAACAAAAATTAACTAGAAAAAAATAAAATATAAACTTCTTGGAACATAAACAGTAGAAAAATGTGTCATAGATAAAAACAACAACAACAGAAAAAAAAAAACAGTAAACTTAACAACAGCAAAACCATCATCTTACCGTAATTTGAGTACGGATCTCGCTGAACCTCACAATACTCCAGGCCTGGGACTATGTCAAAAATGCTGAAGAGCTGCTCCTCTGTGAAGGGGACGCGCGACACAACTGACAGGCGCTTGGACACAGCTTCCTGGCCTCTGTCACTCTTGCCAAAGCTTGAAAACTCGGACTGTTGTTCTCCAACTACACACACACGTAAATCGTTACATTTGTATACACTGTTGTTCTCCAACTATACACACACGTAAATCGTTACATTTGTATACACTAAAAATTCATGTAGCCATTTTGCACACGGCTATTTCAAGTGTACTGTGCCAAACAAAGACACTGTATTTTGTGGTATTCTTTTTTAAAACACACTTTTAACTTTAGCCTTTGAGAATTTCATATATGTATGCAATGCATTCTAATCATATCTATTGTCCCTACTTTGTAGCATTGTAATACTTATTCTACAATCATAAAGAACATGTGACCAGAGAACAGACAACTTCACCCACTTCTCTACTAAACTTCAACACAGAACAACTACAGGAATGTCTAGTTAAATACCACAGGATGGAGTTGAGTATACAAAACTGTGAAATATGGCAAGAATTTTATCTGAAAAGTTTTGCCAGCGACAACCAGGGACCTTGCTTTCACCACTTCCCAGCAGCCTCTTCTAGCTTCTACTCTTGCCAGTCTCCCTTCTGTAAGCCAAACTTTAGACAGCATACTGCACATACCTGTGCAACATATTTGCACTTTTGGTTGGCTGCACAAAGGCAGAATTCACACACACACACACACACACACACGTAGTAGTGACACAGGTTAGTATGTAGATAATGTGTAGCTAGCCAGAGAAATCTATATTGGACATAAGTTAAACAAAATAAGGGTGAAGTATTAAGGATATTAGAAGTTCTGACAACTTCTCAGGAAGAACAAGACAAACTACATCTAAGATTTTCACTCACTTGGTAAGATTTTCAGGTTGCTGACGAAAGAACGATCTGAGAATGAAATTAGATCACACACTCAACTCAACGCTGCTAACGCAGAGGTAACGGCGGTCCACTCACCAAAGGGAAGCAGGTTTACTCTCGGTTCATGGCCCAAAGCCTCCTGCCTAATGCTACCGTAATAATCTTGCTCCGAGGACTCGGATACTTTATTCTTAGGTTCAGCCAAGAGCGCCCTGAAACCTGAAAGTGAGAAGCCATGAATTTTCAAGCTTCATAGCAAATTTAACATATTTGGACTTAAGGATCTGACCTAGTTTTAGAAATACAACTATACAAAACAGAATCTACATGGTGGCCACCTCCATCAGCCCAACTTCTTCATTTCATGGTAAAGAACAAAAAGTAAATGAGAAAACCACAAACAAAAACAAGCCGAGAACCCTCCGCACCCCCCCCCCCAGTAAAGGTCATCAACACAGACGAGAAAGGTCAGCAATGCTGTACCCCCCCCCCAAAAAAAAAGATGGCCATCATCCACTTGCAGTTTCTTAGAACTAAAACCTCACTGGGCATCTTCACATTTAACCTTATACCAACCTGCCTCCTTTATATGCGCTTAGTATGGTACTCTGCACGTTAACTTCTCTGCCTGTTACATCTTTAATCACGACAGTTGTGTAACTGGTCCCCTTGTTCTAGACTGACAGTTCTTACTTAGGGGTCCAAGAATTAGCTTCAAACAGTGGAAGAGGGAGAGACAAGTCACTGAATGCAGACTGCCAACACCCACACGAAAGCCAGGGGAGTCCAGGCATGCCTATAATTCCAGCATCAGGGAGGTAGAGGCAGAAGATCAGGCTAGCCAACTGGTGAGCTAGGTTCATGACACCCCACACCCTCCCTAAGCCCCCTACAAAACCTCTAAAACAAAATGCTTATCCATGCTATGCAAACATGGGTGTATGTCAAGGGGTCATGGCATTCACGTTGCTCAAACGGCGCGAGCATGATAGACTGGCTGGAGGAGCTTCTGGAGGAGTTACGGCTGCCTGAGGGATGGGAGGTGATGGAAAACAAGACATACCTCTTGTTTCAGCCTTTAAAAGTGTTCTTCTATTATTTATTTTCTAGGTTTTAGCCAATACAGACACACAGGTTTCCATCCGGGGCTACCAGTCACCTCATTCCTATCTTCCTCTCGGCATGCTGAGGAGCACACCATAGGGAGCCGATTAAGAAGAAAACTGTGCTGTGGACTTTAGAAGCACCTAAGAATTCTACAGATCAACAGCAACTCCTTCCTGGAGATACTGATTTTTATAACGGTCTAAAGTTCAGTAATTTATCAAACCTCTCATTTCTCAAAGTCAACTTTATGTATAATGTCAAAGTGTGCAATAATTTATCACTATAGCTTCCAGATAATTATCTGTGATAACGAATCTCACCAACCCAATCTTAACTTGTATGTTTGTTAGTGTATTAAATCCTGGTTAGGGTTTAGCTGAATAGGAACAAATACAAAGAATAAGATTTGCTGGGCACATGGTATATGCCTATAAAGCCAGCACCCAGGAGGCTGAGGCTGCAGGAAGACAAGTTCAAGGTCAGGTTGGGCTATATAGCAAGATCTACCTTAAGAAAACAACAAGGAAAAATGTTTTTAAAACCAAAAAGGGTCAATCAATTTTTAGTACTTTAAATTACAAACTAATTTTTTAAAGCCCCAAGCCTATGCAAATAACAAGCCCGAATATGCCCTGTGCTTACATCCTGACGGCTCTGCCACCAGGATAGCTTCTGCGCATGGCTGATTCCTAAGTCCAAACCTTTCCCTCCTTGAATCACATGGAAATACTCACTACTTATTTAACTTTAGCAAAAATCTAGTCAAAGACTCCCTTACTTATAATATTGAGAATTCTTTTTTTAAAGGCCTTTTAGCAAGGTTAAAGAACAAACAAACAAACAGATCTGGAGCTGGAACGATGCTGGCACAGTGGTTAGGAACACATTTGCTCTTACAGAGGACCTGGGTTCTGTTCCCAACACACACAGTGGCTCACAACCACCCGGGACTCCAGTTCCAGGGGTTACGATCTCTTCCTCTGGCCTCTGCAGGCACTGCATCCATGTGGAACACAGATGTGTATTTCGGGCACAACCGCACACATAAAATAAAGCTTTTAAAAAAAATCATTCTTACTTTTATCACAGTTTTCTATTGCCTGGGCGGCTTGGGATGGCTTCAGATAGCGCACGTAGCCCAGCCCTTTGCTCTCCCCCGTGACTTTATTCTTGATGATGCTGCAGTACTCAATATCGCCGTACACCTGCGAGAGGAGAAGAAATGACCTCAGGACGCTCACAACTAGTGACAGAAAAGACACTTCAAATTTAAATTTTTACCTACTCGTGTCTCATGTATAAGCAAAGCAATCCTTCAAGGCTACACCGACATTCTGCACTGTGGATTTCGCAGACAGTGACGCCGAGCCCACAAAACCCACATACCTTGCCTATACCACAGAGAAACGGAGACGGGCGAGAAAGAACTTATCCACACCGTCTTGCTCAGTAGAGGACTATGAGGGCTTTGGAACTGGGATTCGGAGATTCAAATCCTAACTGAGCAACTTAGTAAGTAGGCAGGTGACTCACCTTCTTTTTGCCAGTGTCTTCTGCAGCACTGACCGCAATGGATTGCTAAAGGTTAAATGGACTCATTTGTGTTAAATGCCTAAGCGCATGGGAAAGACCAAATACGCAGCAACGCTAGCTGAAACTGTTTAGGTGTCTCTAATAGTATCACCAACGTCTGGATGCTCTTCTGAGGGGCAGTTCAAAGTCAAACATGATGGTTCCCTCAGATGATTAGTCCCATGTGAGAAACACACTAATGTTTACAGTTGAAGACACATGGGATTATAAACTTATGGCATGTCATTTAGTATGAATTTTACAGAATTCTCTTGTAAATGTTTTTCTTCCCTCTTAGAAAAAAAGAGGTAAACATTTTCTTACTATGGATGAAGTATGGAATATAAATATTTGGAATCTGTTATTCTTGAAGGTTAACTCTCAACAGGAGGGCAAAAGACACATAGAAAACATCTTTTCCTGCTAGCTTTTTTTCTTGCTTGTAACCTACCCTCAACTTAGTGCTAAAAGGTTAAACAGAAGAAAATACCACCACCACCACCACCACAACAACAAAACAACTTAAAACACCGTTGAGTAACTTCTGGGAAAGCCTACATGTAGCCATTGCATACAAAGGCACAAAGATTTAAAATTATCTTCAAAAATCATTTCCTCTGAGCAGTAGCTTAGAGCCGTAATGGCTTCCCTTAAATATGACCTGTGTAGAAGCCAAATTTTAGGACAAAACCACTTGAAGGAATAACCTCCCTCTGAACGAGCACCATGTCAACACAGCACGGGCCATGATAGGCATTAGCCAACACAGCCCCCGCACTGGGGCCTGACTGGGGCCTGACTGGGGCCTGACTCAGGCTTGCGACTCACTCTGCAGAGAGGCAAGAGAGGTGAGGACCAAGAAGTGCTCGGAACTGTAAAGTCTGAGCGCAGGCTCTGGGGGCAGAGCGGGTTTAAATCTTGGCGCCACTGACTAGTAGCTGTGTGGTTTTAATGAAAACTCTCTGGCCTCGCACTTCATTTTCTCAGCCTATGCTGTAGGATGAAGTCTGGGCAGAGGGGATGGTCACCGTTATTGTCCAGATGTTTGTGGCTGTACAGTGTTGAAAACAGAGTTATGATAAGAACACACAAGGACCTTAAATTTTTCCCGCAGGTCTTCTTCTGTATAGGACTTTGGTATCATAACAAAGATTCTTGTGAGTTCTTCATCTTCCACATCTCTGTGACTTCCTGACGATCGGGACTGAGCAATGAAAACCTAAGAAACACACAGAGCCTTCAGGAAAAGGATAACTGTTTCCCTATTCCTTAAGCACACTTACTTTATAATACAAGTATTCAACTCAGAAATGCAATGTGATAGGATCTTATAATTTTTTTTCAAAAAAAGCTTTATTACAGTGATTTAAAAAACTACAATACCAATCTTTACACCGCTCTTTCCAAACACATTTTGGTTTTTGCACTTTTTCCCTTTTGTCTTGTTTTGAGACAGTGTCTCCCTATGTAACACTGGCTGTGATTAAACCCTGCATGTAGGCCAGGCTGGCCTTAAGCTCAGAGATCCGCAGGTCTCTGCCTTCCAAGTGCATTCATTTGCATTTCTGACTACCAAGAGCAGGTCACTGTTTGAACGGATGCAGACTTTGTGGTTGGACACAGTGCTGGCATATCTTTCTTTCATGGTCTACCTGTTTGATCAGAGGCTGACTGTACATAAATCAGATTATATGTTCCTCTTTCTCCTAGTCCTGTCAAAGACGCTCCAGACTGAGGGTGTAGCTCAGTGGTAGAGTGCTTGCCTAGCATTTATGAAGCCATGGATCTGATTTTCAGAGCCCCTCTCCCACCCCAATATGTTGAATGTATTTTGAAGCTCTGTTATTGGCTGCATAAGCACACGGGATTGCTATATGTTCATCTTTATGAGATTATCAATTAATATTCTACATACAGATATCTATCTTCACTGATATGAGCTTCTTAAAAATTTCTACAGCACGGTATCTTCAAAGCATTTTCTCTTGTAAACATCACTTAGTTGTGTTTGGTTCATTTTTGTTTTATGGCATCTTCTTCTGGGTGGCACCTGGTCTTCCCGTGGAGCCTATGCTGGCATTGCACCTAAGAACTGCTTGCCTGAGCTTCCTGAGTGCAGGGAGTACAGGCATGTGCCACTATGCCCGGTGGTGATCTTCTCCCTGAGATGCTTGGTTTGTTTAAATTTAATGTAATTATTCATAGAGTTGGGGTTAAGTCTAGACACTCTACCTGCTTTCCAACACTACATTTTTAGACACAGGCAGCATCGTCAGACTGATCTGTCTCTGTGAATCTCCAAAAGCTTTCCACATGCAGATGGAAAATTCACCAGAGGTTCTTCTTTTCTATTGGCAGTTCAATCTTACTAAAACATTATCAGGGAAGTGAATCTGAATCTAATTTGCTTTGTAGTACAATATTTGTTTATCAATTTGTCTTTGTTTTTTTTTTCTATTTCCATAGGAATGTTAAAATCTATGACTAAGGCTATAGACTTGTTTGTGCAGCCATAACCATAACATTCTTAAGGTAATGCCACTTTTTATAATTTGAAATGACACAGATCCCCTTATACACAAGGACTCATGAGGCTTTATGCATGCATACGAGTGTGTGTTTCCTTTAAGGAGGGTAGCATATCACTGAAGTATGTGAAAGCCACGGACAGTGAAGGCGGCAGGAGGCAGAATCTCAAAAGGGATACTGAATAAAAAACAAAAACATGTCACTGTATACTTCGGCGGAAGAGAGCGAGCACTGGACCCAGGGACACAAGAGTTGTCACTCTTGCTCAGAGGACAGCTTGTTAGAGAGGCAAAGGACTCTGCTTAGAAAATGGAGTCAGAAGCCGGGTGGTGGTGGCGGCGGCGCACGCCTTTAATCCCAGCACTTGGGAGGCAGAGACAGGCAGATCTCTGTGAGTTTGAGGCCAGCCTAGTCTACAAGAGCTAGTTCCAGGACAGGCTCTAAAACTACAGGAAAGAAAGAAAAGAAAAGAAAAGAAAAGAAAAGAAAAGAAAAGAAAAGAAAAGAAAAGAAAAGAAAAGAAAGAGAAAAATGGTGTCAGAGGCATGTCCCTAGGTAGTCTATTTTTAGTTGTTTCTTCAATAATTCCCATCCTAGGCCAAGCACTACTGGGGTATGAGTAGAAATGCCCCTTTGAGTCAATCTAGTTGATACATCAATAATGAATATCCAAAGGAAGATACAGGGAAGCAAGAAAATGCATATACTGGAGGAAAAAAAGGGACCGAAGGTAAAAGAAGATCAGAGGTGCCATCAGCTCACAAATTTCTAAATTTTAGAGTCTGAAGTGTCTGTTTACTCTCTGATAAAGGAATGTGTCCGCACAGCACGTGAATCACCTAGGGCGCGCCTTGTTCTCAGTTTCATCCCTTCCCTAGCTGATAACACCGCATCCTGGTGCAGCAGCAGCAGCAGGAGAGACCCCAACCCACAGTCCATGAACACACATACACGGTATTCTTGTAAAACCAAAGTCAGGACTCCCCAACCTCTGTATCGTTTTCTAGCTTATCACAACATAATTTTACTTTGATAAACCTTGTGGCTTTAGGCTGGTACTGTTATATCCCCTGTACTTTGTAACCGTCGCTTCCGCTGACACCCCCCAACCCCGGGCACCCCGACCCCAGGCACCGCAACCCGAGTGCCCTTATCCCAGACACCCCAACCCGAGCACCTCCACCTCACACACCCTAACCCCAGTGCCGCACCTTGATGGGTTTGGTTTTGTAGGGGCCAAGGCACTGCCCGTGCATCTCCTCCATAGCCCGGCAGGCCTGTGAGCTGCGGGCGAACTTGATGAAGGCGACGCCCTTGGACTCCTTGGTGTGTTTGTCGCGCACCACCCAGATGTCCTGGATGTCTCCGAAGGGAGAGAAGCGCTCCCGCAGCACCGACTCGGGAGTGTACTTGCTGATCACTAGGAAGATGCGGCTGTTGGGCGGCTCGTCCAGGCTGTCCACGCCGGGGCGGAAGCCTCCGCTGCCCGCGGAGCTGCTGGCGTCGTCCATGGTGCCCCACGTAGGAGAGGGAGCCTGGCCAGCTCGGTCCGCCCGCTCGCCCACCAGCCCGCCGCGGCCGGTGCACACCTCCGCTTCCGGAAGAGCGCGGAGCCCAGAAGCAGGTGCCGTCCCCGGTGAGCAAGTCCGGCTTCCGGGAACCTTCTGCAGCGCCCCCTGGCGTCACGGTGGACTCTGAACAGCCCCAAATCTCAGTCCCTGTGCAAACCGAGCTGCCTTGTAGCCAAGAAGACACCACCTACCAGATGCTTAAGCCTTTCCAAAGCTGGCGTCTGCTTTCTTCTAAGCCAAAAATGGTGTCGTTACGAAAAGATTACTCTTCACCTTCGTAAGAGAGAGACTGGAAGTGGTGACGCATGCCTGTAATCCGAGTCTCTTAGGCAGAATTAGTGAATTCGAGGCTAGCATCTGGGCAACACGCTGTCTCAAAAATAAAACAATAACAAAAACACCAAACTAAAAATAATAATAAAAAAAGGCAGACCTAAGGGTCCATCGTGACAGGTACAGAGGACTTGCAACAAGGAAGAGAGACGACTTGGTTCCAGGAAGAGAAGTGGAGGTTTATAACAGGGCAGTATGGAAGTCAGTAGATGAAAAATTACTGAAGATTGGGGGTAAGGGGAACTCTTGTTAGACCTGCTTCACAGAATTCACGCTGCAGGCTGGCCAGAGGGGTAGATATTAACAGCGGTCAGACATCAGGGCAGGAACCACCATGAAACTGATTTATCAGGATTTGTCCTCATTCTGGATGCCCCGAGGACAGAGATCCAGAAGTTGGGGATGGTCAAACAGAAGACTTGGGGGAGCTTGTCTGAAGTTTTGATTTTTGACAAAAAAAAAAAAGTTTTTTTGACAAAAACAGGGAGTCTTTGTCACCATTTTGACCATAAGCTCAATTAGGAGTCACTAGAGACAAAGTCTGTGGTGGTTTGAGTAGAAATGGCCCCAATAGAGTCATAGATTTGAATGCTTGGTCTCTAGGAAGCGGTGCTGCTTGAGGGGATTAGGAGGTGTGGCCTTGTTGGAGGAAGTGCATCATTGGGGGTGGGCTTTGGGAGTTTCAGAGAGCCAAGCCAGACCCTGTGGCCCTCTCTTCCTGCTGTCCAAGGATCTGGAAGTAAAACTCTCAGCTCCTTCTCCAGCACCATGCCTGCCTATCTGTGGCCATGCGTCCTACCATGGTGACAATGGACTAACCCTCTGAAACTGTAAGCAAGCCCCAGTTAACTGCTTTCCTTTATAAGAGTTACCATGGTCAGCGTGTCTCTTCACAGCAATTGGAACCTGACTAAGACAATTAAAACCACAGAGCCTGGTGGCTGCACAGTGTCTTTACAAGCATAGAATCCTAGCCCCATTCTTTAGAGGCCCAAAGTTAAGAGGCTCAGGTCACAGAACCAGGCCCAGGGTGTAACGTACCCCTCTGTTTGAGCTGCTCAATTCCCACAAGCACTTCCAGGAGTGGGGAAAATGGTGGCTGCTCACCTAGGAAGTAGGAGAAATTAGAGGTCCCAGTGAAGTGGGAAATACCCGCTGGCTTTTAGGGCTTGTTAATGAGCCTCAATGAGGAGGTCAGCAGCCAGCTAGAGACAAAGACTAAGTTAGCCTTTACTAGCCCTGGAATGAAATGAAAGAAAGAACCGCAAAAGTGAGCTAGGAGTATAGCTCCTAAAGTGCCCGCATCCCAGCTGTAAGATCTGGCCATCTATGAAGTCAAGCACATCCATATTTGCTGTGCACCAACTGTGGGCCAGGAGCTAGACACTCGGTGGTAGAACAAGAACCATCTTGTCACAAGATTCTGTAAACTCCTTGCGTAGTTCCTGCTCCAGACATGTCAACTGTAGAGTAGAAATAACACTACTATAATTAGTGGAGCAACTGTCAGATGCAATTAGTGAAGTCACCCATTCATTCAATTTATTAACTTTAATGAATTTAATAACTTTTTCTAGAGACGTTTATTTATTTTTATTTTATATATTTGAGTGTTCTTCCTGCATGTATGTCTGTGCACCACTTAGATACAACACCTGTGGAGGTCAGAAGAGGGCACTGGATTCCCAGGAACTGAACTTACAGATGTCTGTGAGCTGCCATTGGTGTGTGTCTTGACCACGGAGCCATCTGCCCAGCCCCTTAACAATATTTTGACACAGAGTCTCACTCTCTGGTACAAGCTGGCCTTGAACTTTAAAGTTTTGCCCCAGCTTCCCAAGTGATGGAATTATAGATTAGATGTGTGTTACCACACTTGGAAAATAATGTTTTTAAATTTTAATTGTGCGTTGAAGACACAAGAGACAAAGTAGTAAACAAAATGACCATTCTTTCTTCTCTGCTCAAAGTTAACAGTTTAACCTTGTGTAATGATACATAGAGCTAATAGTTCAGGGACCAAATGAAACAATATGTGTACAAAGACAGAGGAGAGGCTAATCTAGTTCCCTTTGACTCTAGTGTCCACACCTTCCGTGCTGTGTAGCTAATGCTAAGAGTCAGGAATTGCGGATTGTTACAATGAATTTGACACAGGGGTTACAGTCATCCCTTACAGTCATCATTATGTCCTGTGTCTGCAGAGGGAGTGTTCTGTTTCCATGGAGCTTAGAAAGAAACAGGAAGCAGGTTGTCATATCTTTCCTCTGTCCCTCCTCTTAGGAAGACCTGTCAAGGCAGTGAAAGGAATCCTTTTAAAGATGCGAGAAGCGCAAAGATTACCAGTAAGACCATTTGTACACTGGCGCCACCTAGTGGGAGAGTTTTTAGACTGCAAAGGCTGTAAAATAAGTAAACTATACTAATTTGTACCCTGAAGTTTTAAAGCTTATTATTATTATTTCCTTAAAGAAAAGCACTGGAAAATTAGCTTGGCCTATAGCGTGCACACACACACACATACATACACACACACGCACACACAAGAAATGCTAGTCTCCTTCAGTCTGCATGCCTTTGAAAGGCATGTGATTCAATTAGATGGCATCTTTAAAGTGTGTAGACTGCAGGACAAAACTCATAGGTGTCATTTAGAGTGGTTTCAATCAATTATTTGGTTACTATGGCTATTTAAATTAAATACAATTTCTTATGATTAAAAATGATTGAAATAGTTACAGATCACGTTCCTCTGTTAATTAGACGTATTTCCAGTGATCAAGAGCAGTCTGTGACTTCAACAATGCCCACACAGAATATTCCTGAAACAGCAGAAAGGGCTGTGGGACAGCACTGCTCTAGGGAGTGAAAACATTGCGGTCCCTGTATTCAACCTAACACACGTACTTCTCACTATTGCGTTTCCGAGAACTTTGATTATTCGACCATTATAGAAAATTATTTTTGATATTCTTCTCTGTCCCAGACTCATCACTTACAGCTCACTGATATGATTGTGTGACCGCAGAGAATGCAGTCTCACTACTGTATTTTCTAAACATAACGTTGACTTTCTCGCCTTTCTTCCTTTAGTCCCATTGCCCTTTATCTCAGTTTCTTCTCTAAGCTGCTCATGGCGATTAGTATTTTGCAACCCGGCTGTCAGTTCCTATGTTATTGAATTTTCATGTCGTTTATTGGCAATGCTTTTTTTTTTTAATACCTTTTGAGACAAGGTCTCACTTCGTAATACAAGCTGACCTAGAACTCATGGTGATCCTCCTGCCTCAGTCTAGTCAGTCAGGGTAGGTGTACAGGATTGTGCCACCACATTGAGTTTATATTGCAATGATTCAAGTTTGTTGTAATTTTAACCTCTGGCCGCAGTGAGATTGTAATTCATGAACGGTTGGGCATGGGGGGTTCAGTATTTGCCCTTTGAGTTTGGTTGCTACAATGTTTTGATAACAGAAAGCATCTCATTAATGCGATTTGATTGTAGCCACCAAATGTTCCTGGCCTAGTCATAAAACAGCTGCCGCTCCACGTTTGTATACAATATAAGGGCACAGAGACTTTTTAGGTAAAGGTTGAACAAACAAAATATCAGACCAGAGGCAGTTAGATTTGGAGGCCATCCAGCCTCTGCGAGAGTTGGGAGTTCCGCGGGATCTTTCAGCCAATCAGCAGCGAGGATGGAGCCGGCCATCAGCTGGTGCTGGATCCCGTCTCTAGGAGGAGTCCTCGGGCACAGAGGCAGCACCTTAGATCTTGGCCTCACTGCATCAGGGGACCAAGGGTGGCACACGGCACCTCTGCTGTGATTGTGGTAGGTGCTGGCTGATTAGAATGAGCGTGGGCTGGGCAGATTTGCCCTGTGAGCCCTGCTTGTGGGCTGATGCAACGAGGGCCTAGATGTACCCAGAGAGGAGCGTTCAACGGTCCCCAGCCTGGCAGAGCCAATCCAGTATCCTGTCGATTAGGACTGCCTGTAGTGCCTCTGATACCCGGGTGGGAAGCATGGCTCAGAAAAGCTTTCCGTGCATGTTGGGCAGAGGTTGGTAACGATGTAGAGAGCTGGGCACTTGGGAAGCTGAATTCTTGTTCTAGCTCATGGTGTCATGGCCACTCTCTAGGGCTGTGATTGTAGATACCAGTGAAGGGCTGGTAGAGTGAGATTTCCTCGGTCACGTTATCTCGCCCCACCTTATACAAATGAAGTTTATGCCCTGGGAATGCTGAAGCATGAATGGGCAGCCCGTATATGGCAGTTCTGTTGAACTTGACCATGTTGGATTTCGTGGTCTAAGTTGATGAGGACGACCGACCTGGTCTATTCCTTAAGAGGACACCAGATTTCATTACAGATGGTTGTTAACCACCATGTGGTTGCTGAGATTTGAATTCAGGACATTAGGATGCTCTTAGCTGCTGAGCATTTGGTCAATAGTTCTTATGAATTAAGACCATGAAATCCAATATGGACAAGTTCAACAAGAACCACCATGGATAGGCTACACATGCATGCTTCAGCATTGCCAGGGGTCGCCTTGTACAACCACATGGGAAATTCTGTTTCGTGGGTTTTTGTATGTGTTTACTATTTATCCTTAAAGTATTCTAGTGAGCTTCCCCTCCCTCCTCCACCAGTTGAATTATTTGGATTTGTAAAATTTAAAGGCTTTCTTGGTGCCTTCATTGTTCTGACATTTCTCTTCTGGTCGTGAAAAGTTAGACATAGTCCATGGTAGACAACAGTATTAAAAACTACTTATGGCCTGAAAAGTAACAGGGGACTTACCTAGTGTGTGTGAGCCCTAGGTTTGATCCCTAGCACGACTAAAATGCAAAACAAACAACAAAAAACAAATGAACAACAACAAATCATCCAATCTTCCTTTCTTATCATTTAAAACAATTTTCAGCCAGATGGTGGTAAATGCCTTTGATCCCAGCACTCGGAGGCAAAGGTAGGCAGATCTCTGAGTTCGAGGCCAGCCTGATCTACAGAGAATTTCAGCACAGCCAGGATTGTTACACAGAGAAACCCTGTCTTGAAAAACCAAATAAAATAAATTTTAAATATATTTTGATCATATTCTTTCCCTTCCCCAAGTCCTTCCAGTTCCTTTCCCCATCCCTATTCACCCAACTTTATCCTTTCTCAAAAAACAAACAAAAACCCAACGTAACAACCCCCAAACCAATAAAATAAAACACCACCCCAAAGGAAAAAAAAAAAAAACAACAAAAACCCTCACCAAACTATAACCAAATGAAAACACACACATAAAAAACTAGAGTCCAATGTATGTTGACCAACTACTGAACATGAGGTCTGCCCTGGAGGGGCTGATTTCGCTCAATCTTTAAGTGATAGTGTGGGGGAAAACAAGCATATTTAGTGTTTTAGTTACTGTTTTCAACAGAGTACTCAAAGGGAGGCAAACTTGTAGGGTTACAGATCTAATGCTACTCCGTCCCATTCTTCCCACCACTCATCAGTTGTGACCTGCACCAGGTTGATTTCCGTGTGCCTCCCTTGTTTTGTTCGGATGTAGGAAAACATGAGCAGTAACCGACTCAGAGCTGTGCGGATCCACTGAGTTCACGGCACACTTGGCTTAGAACTCAGGCATGTTGCTGTTCGTTAGTACTGAGACTACTTCAGACTCAGGTGGATAGTCGGTTCTCATAGTTCACATCACACTTTTACCTGCTTCTTCTTGCATACTAAGTACTGGTAAAAGCCAGTTGTGGTCACGGAGCCTATAACCTGCACGCGAACGGCTGAGGCAGGAGGACTGAGTTCGTAGCCAGCCAGCTCAAACTACAGTGATTCCGAGGCCACATAAGACTGTCTGGAACAAACAAAAGACAACAATAAATAAGTAAATACCGATAGAGTATCAGCTAGTTTCATGACGAATCAGTTTCTTTCTTGCCATTGCTGAATCTCTTGGTTTTATATTACCTGGAACAGGACTGTCAGTGTCTGCTCCAGCAACAGTAGTGTATGACTAAAGACAGTGACGGTAAAAGTCACGCGGTGACTGATGCTGGCAGAGCACTGAACGTAAGTATTTTTGGCACGTGACTTTGATGAGAAATCAAATTTGGAGTTTCCTAAATTACTAGTAACATTTAATTGGCACAGCTCAATCTGCCTGGTATAGAAGGTCACGAATGAAGACTCTGGGGAGCACTTTGATGGTGTTTAGTTCTTCACGATACAGACTTTACAGTTACAATGTACATATTTTACAAATTGTCATACGTTTTCTTCTGTGGAGGAATTTCTCTCTTTTATGGCTTTAATCAAAGACCCACTGCGTTTTGAAAATTTTTGCAGTGTCTTGACTATTATTTGGAATTTGTCAACCTCTCTTCCATAAAGTAAGTTTTCTCTCACACCTAATACTGAGTGCTAAATTATTTGCTTTTAAGTGCTGCACACTGATTGGCCTTCTTTTTTGGGGTGGATTAATGATGGTTTTTGGCTCCTGATCAGATTTTAAAAGTGAGGAAAACGCCGCTTTCATCTTTGTGTAATGACTTTCATTATTCAAAAAACAAATACAGTGTTTTTCAAATTTGTCAGATTAATTGACGCAAATATTTTGTTTCTTAGGGATTATGTAAACAAATATATTCTTGGGACTGTATTGTCAAAGAATGTCATGATTTTAGTAATAGTAATTTGTTATGTTTAAATCCATCTTAATCACGAACTCCCCTGTTCTCATTCTTCACAGAACACAAAGTGTAGGGAGACGCAGCCCAGGTAGGCCAAGTGCATGTGTTGTGTGCCTGTATGTGTGTTGTATGTGTGTGTGTGTTGTATGCATGTATGTGGTTGAGCCTGTTTGTGCAAGCATATATGGAGGCCAGAGGATGATGCTGGAATGTCTTCCTCGATTGTTTCTCCATCTTGCTCTTAGAGACAGGCTCTTTCACGTAAGCCCAGAGCCCTGCTTGCTAGTCTGGATTGCCAGGCTCTCAAGAAGTTCCTGTTCCCATCTTCATAGCAGTGGGGGAAAGGCACACTCTGGGTGGTGATGCCAGGGACTCCGTTCCCTATTCCTGCCGAGCCATCCGTGGACTTCAAAGTTCAGCTTATGGAGTTGTAATTATTTACTTTTCATGCCATTTTGGACAAGAAGCATTTATTTAGCTGTCCAACTAAATTCTTGGCGGTCGCTGAAGCACCTTAGTTCAGAATCTTGTTTGTATCTCTCGCTACACAACAAGATTGTCTGCACTTAACAACATATATTTTATGCTGCATTGATACCGTGTTCCAGTGAGGCCTGAGCTCAGTAATGTCATTTTTGTTACTTTCAGGTAATACTTGTTCTAATCTGGTAGACTGGGTTACAAATAAAGTAAGTACAAAAGTCATGTTACATGTTATCTTATAGGGGCCCCACTTTTTTCTGATTGATTTTAATCTCCTATGCATGGCTGTTGTGACGAGTGTGTAACACATCTACTATCATGCTTGTTCTGTTCTTCTAAGTAAAGGGATGCCTGTGTCACACAGCATTTTTGCATATGCATTTAAATTAATATAATTGTTTGAAGGCTGCGGTAAAACCAGGCTTATACCAATAGGAGTATATGAAGAAGCTAAGACTAAAAATTTAAAATATGTCTGATCAGGTGGCTGTGATGACACCCACCTTTAATCCGGGAAACAGATGCAGCTGGGTCACTGTGAGTTTGAGCCAGCCTGGTCTAAAAGAGTCCCGGGACAGCCAGGGTTACATAGTGTGATCAAATCAACAACAACAAAAGTCTGACGAATGAGAAGACTGAAGTGTCTGTAAAGCTGGATGCCGTAGCACATCTGTGTTTTCGAGCACTCGGACATTAAAGCGCATGTACATTAAATGCTATGGTTTGCTTAATGTTATTGACATTCCCTTCAGTCAGAGTAACGGGACCCTTCTCCCTCCCAGTTGTCTTTCCAGGTTCGCAAATCTGCTGTTGTCTTTGGTCTGTGCCTTAAGGTCTCATCGCAGAACAAAATGGGAGATGCTGAAGCAGGCAAGAAGATCTTTGTTCAGAAATGCGCTCAGTGCCACACGGTGGAGAAAGGTGGGAAGCACAAGACTGGTCCAAACCTCTGGGGCCTTTTCGGCCGGAAGACAGGACAAGCACCAGGATTTTCTTACACCGATGCGAACAAGAATAAAGGTAAAGGCCAGGAGCGGTGGGAGATGCTCGGAGATTTTATTGCAGGAAAGACTGTTCGGGGTCTGGTGTGGAAGTGTCTGCCTAACTGTTGCATTGGAAATAGACTCCCATGTTTCTGATAACTGAAATGCTGGGTTTTTTTGCCATAACATCTGGATTTAGATAGCTTGTTATCCCTCCAACCAGAAGACTCGAGTCTTTCATGACATAGAATTTGCCCGTGTAGACTGTTTTATATGTTAATTTTATGTCACGTTTACCTTGAGAAAGTGTGGGTTAAGTCTAAAAAAGAAAACATTTTAAGGGCACGATAGCAGTAGTGATTATATTTGTAGTGGTGATTCTTAGCAGTGTTGGGAATATAAAGTTTGAAAATATATTTAACAATTTGGTATTGGTTGGTAGAAGGGAGTTAAACCGTAAAGTGAGAAAGCTTTTTAGAATTGAGATTAAAGACAGCTAGAAAAAACTATAGTATCTGTGCAAAACAGCTGGTTTCATGCATGTGTGTGCACAGACATATATAAATAGATTAGCACAGCAAATATTCTTAAAGTACAACTCTCCTTTGAACTGTTCTTGGTGGCCTAACATACAGACCACAATCTCGGAGCACTCGTATCTGACGAGGGTCTCAGTGTATAGTCCAGACTGACTTTGAACTCATTTATAGCCCAGCTTGGCTTCAAATTCACTATGATCCTCTTGCAAGTGCTAGAATTATAGGTACATAGGCTATTTTAATTTTTTTTAAATTGGAGAGAAATTCACACAACATTTAGCTAGTTATTTTAGAGTATGTAATTTATTAACATTTAGCATTAATGATAGTATACCATCATCACCTCTCCCTGGCTTTATTTATTTGTTTGTTTGCTTGCTTACTTACTTGTTTATTTATTCACTTATTCATCCATCCATCTATTCATTTATTCTTTTGAGACTGGTCTCACTATGTAGACCAAGCTAGTCTTGAGTGCACAGAGATACACTTGCTTCTGCCTCCCGAGTGTGGGATGGAGGTGCGTGCTGCTATGTCTGCCTTCAGAACTTTTTAGAACGAAACACACCATAGCACCTTCATCTATTCTGTAGCCACCCCTCCTAGCTCTGTTCTTCCATGGCTGCTAGGCAGCTCTGTGTCTCTTTGGATTTGCATGTTGACTGTTTGATGTGCAAGGAATCCTGTAACAAGCTACTGTCTGTGTCTGTCTCCTTCACCGGGCGTGACACTTTCAAGGTCCATGAAAACTGTGGCCAGTATCAATAGTTCAGGATAATTCTGATGGTGACGCTAGCACGTGGTTTCGATCTCCACTTTGTCGTGTGTGTGTGTGTGTGTGTGTGTGTGTGATTAACGAGTGCCCAGTGCACATGTGGAGATCACAGACAGCTTGCAGGAGTGGGTTCTCTCCTTCCACTATGTAAGTCCTGAGGATAAAACTTGGGACGTTGAGTCAGGCCTGCACTGTCATTGTGTTCAGGATGTGCAAAAATGCTGGCAAGCAGGTATTGTACGGTAAAGGATTTTGTTCTTCTCTTGGGTTTCTGTAAGGGACTCTGTAAAATCTGGGAATTTCCTAAGTGAAAGGATTATCTTTGTTAGTCCCAGGGACCAGGACCGACTCTTGCTGATGCTTGACTCCACTCCTAGATCATTTTCGGATAGGGGCTGACCTTGCAGGAAGGAACAATCATGAGGTTAGATAATTGTGCCTCATGCTCAGGGATTTCGGGTAGACTTCTGGGGACAGAGTGGGGATCGAGATGCTGGAACTGGGTTCTGTCATGTTACAGTGAGCCTGCCAGTCATGTTTGTGTACTGAAACCCCTGTTAGATGCTCCTTACCAGCCAGCACTCTGGCAGAGAGAGGAGGTCCTGATCCTTCAAAAGCATTTCCAGGAAGTGTGCATTTGGGACCCTCCAGTCCTTGCCTTGTGGGTCTCTTAGGCCCTGCCCCGACGCACGGCCTTTATAATAATTGTTGGTGTACTGCCTTCCTGAGTCCTGAGAGCTGTTCTAAAGGAATCACTGGACATCAGAAGATTGTGGGAATTTCAGAAGTTTGGGTGGCTAGACCTCCCCTCCCCCAAAAGCCTCATAGTTTTTAAAATAAAGGCCTTCTTCCAGAAGGCTGTGGAGTGTGTGCTGACTGTGGACAGTTAGTGTTAGAACTGCAGTTTGGTGAGTGCAGTTAGATTTTCAGTTGTTAGGTTACTGAGGAAACCAATTTTTAAGTCACGTTTGTTGCTTTCAATGATATGGTTCTTGAATTTGTGTGGTACTTGGGAATTGAACCCAGGGCTTCATCCATGCTTGGAGCATACTCGACCTCTGGGCTGTACACTCATCTTGACAAACTTTTAAACTGTTTCCTCCTGTGTCTTTTTATTAATATTGTGTTGACAGTGAAGTTGGAAGGTCCTAATTTCTAGTCTAATTATAAACCACATTTGAATTGAAATGAAATGAAAGTGATGACAGAGCTGTGTGCGCCCAGTCAATTGCTTCCTTTTCTGTACATAAAAAAAAAAAAACAAAAAACAAAAAACGTTTTCAGTTCATGAGGTTCCTTTTATTTATCAGTTGCTGGCTTTCTTTCTCGAGGAGCTGGAGTCCTGTTTAGAAAGTCTACAGAAATAGCTCTATCAAAGGATAGGCCTGCTATGAAAGTGTGGTGATAATTAAATAAAAGAATACTACCTCTTAGGCTCACGGATTTGGAGGAGTAAAGAGTCACTGGCGCACTGTGTGCGCTGATATATTAGGCACTTTGAGTAGAGGGGAAAGAAAAAAGAAACAGATTAGCTAATCAGGGCAATTAGTACTGGGTTGTTAGATACAAAGCAGAGGTGCGAAAGCCGTGTCGAGGAAGGAGCATTAGAGGCAAAGACGGGAGAGGATGCAGCAGCGGCTGAGCTGACCTCAAAGAAAGGAAATCAAACGATGTCGGATATTCTCAGGCTTAGGGGCTGAGACGAAGAATGGCAGACATGGCTGCCTGTGCTGCTTGAGAAGGAAAAGGGAAACGGCGCGGGAAGACTAGAGGGACACAGGACCAGAGTGAAGCGTGGAGGGAGTCGACAGTGGGTACTGCATAGAGGAATGCACGGAGCAAGCAGAGCAGACGGGGTGTAGCGTATGAACGCAACCTTGACGGCTTGTTCGTCTGCTGGTGTCAGTCCTGGCTCTATGGATGTGTCTCTGGGCCGTCCTGTCCTTGCCCAGGGCCTTCCTTTGGAGATGAAGTTGCAGATGCGGTCCAGTTAGTGGGCAGTTCTTCACAGGTGGAGTACCAGATGCTGGCCATGCTTGTGGGCTCACCCTCACCCGAAAGTCAGGTGGCTTGTGTCCTTTTCACTGGTTTTCCAGGGGAGAAGAGGACAACTTTGTCATCTTGGAATTGGATTTCCGATCACAGATTTCCATGACAGATAGGTAGGGGTGCGTGAGTGTGTGTGTGTGTGTGTGTGTGTGTGTGTGTGTGCGCGCGCGCGCGCGCGCGCGCATGCGTGTATGCACACACGAGTGCAGGCACATACACGCCACACTTTACATATGGAGATCAGAGGACAACTTTGGGGAATTGGTTTTCTCCTTTACTGTGGGCGCTGGGACTCAGGTTGTCAGGCCTTCAGAGTTATTTCACCCCATGAGCCACCTCTCTACTCAATAGTCACAAACTCTTGAATTCAGGTAGCTTTGTTATGTCAGGGCAAGGTACATTCTTCTTTGGGCATCATTATGCCCAATTTTAAAGCAGAAAATTGGATTAGATTGCAGGCTATCTGAGATTTTTCTCTAGAAGGGACGCTGTGATTTCAGAAGCTCGAGGCACCCTGGAGGCACAGCATGTCTGGGGTAGTTGTTCATTGACATATCTTTGATGGTCCTATACAACACATGACTATTGGCTCTCTATAGAGAAACAGGAATAGACTCTCTTTCTGGGATTTTCTTGTAGTTCAGGCTCTACATTGTTAGCTAAACAGTCTTCCCATTGAGTGACAGGTAACCCTCTGTTCACATATGTGGGTCAGAGTGAACAGTAAGCCCTAAGAAGTAACCACGAAGACTTAATACTTATTTTCAACCTTATAGGTATTGTCTGGACAGAAGCAACTTTGATGGAATATTTGGAGAACCCAAAGAAATTCATCCCTGGCACTAAAATGATCTTTGCTGGTATCAAAAAGAAGAGTGAGAGAGAAGATCTTATTCAGTATTTGAAACGGGCAACATCCTCATGAATTAGTAGTACAGCTTCAAAAATACTAGTTCTCAATTTCAAATATTGTGCTTAATAAGAAGCAATTTCTGCTCTTTCTTGATCAGCCTGTAGTAATTTTAACACGTTAAATAAAGGTTGATATTTTTGATTGTGTATAGTCCACTCATGAGAAATTGATTTTCGTTAGATTGTGCTTGCCTTTTACTTAACTGAAAACAGGGAACATATAGTCAAACCTTGGGAAAGCTTTTTGGGGGGCGGGGAGAGAAAGAGAGAATGAATGAATTATGGATCCTGGGTGAATAAAACAAAATCTAAACAGAAGGAGAAAGTCATGGCCCGCCTACTTTGATAAGCACATCTTGGGTTTTTTTTTTTTTTTTTTTTGCTTTTGCATCTTTAAGCTCTCTGATCCTAAACAACACAAAGCTGGGCTCAGGATCTTTTGCGGGGAAAAGCCCCAGTCAACTACTCAAAAGGCAGAAAGAGCCCATCTCGGAGTCACAAGTGCAAAGCGTGGTGGGGCAGGCCCACTCCAGCTAGTGGAGGGCACAATGCTCTCTGTAGCGAGGCTTCTCCTGAACAGGGCCGTCATCCAAATGATGGGGTCCCAGGGAGGAGGGAACAGCTTCCATACCAAAGAGTTGGGTAGAAGACTAGTTAGGGGCCATGACAGGGAAGGATGAAATACCTGTTACCCCATTTATGCTTCACATCACCACCCCAGGGTCTTAGGGGTCAACTTCATCCTCTACAGTGGTAGTTCAGGCCAGAAGCAAAGCATTGATCTTCTACCGATAACTTTCACCTTTATCAGCACTTGACTTACAGTATGTACTGCTACTGTGAGATGAACTAGTTGAAAAGGAGCAAATTCTAGAAAGTTCCATTAAATTTGCTAAGTGCTCAGGCTTCCTCTTGTTATCTCTGACAAGTTGGAAGGAATGCACTTCTCTGGGATGCCAGGGTCAGTAGTGTGTGGAAAGCTGTCTCTGGGAATGGAGAGTGGCTTCAGGCAAGGCTAAGCTTGTCAGGCTCTCCCTCAGGGAGTTTTCTGCGAGGACAGAGAGGTTGCAGGGTCTCTGAGGGTGTGCCCAGAGCAGAGCTGGGTTTGCAGAGCTGCTACCTTAAATCAGACACCACATCCCATTCTAGTCTGCATGAGGCCCGTCAACTTTGTGAGACACAACTTGAGCTCAATTCTCATTCGTAACTCAGTCCAGATCGACAGAGCCCTGCAGGAAAAATTTGCTGGTGTTGCTACAAGCTGCTGTTCCCTGCTGCAAGCTTCAGGCAGGAGGAAGGCGGCTTTAGGCTTGGGGAGTAAAAGCTTTTGCCTTAGGAGTAGAAGCAGCTGTTCTGAGGACTGAGATAATAAAAGGCATTTGGGTAGAAATGAGGAATAGTTTCTCTCCAAGTAGATTTCTGCTTAAGGAATTGTTGGGTTAGTAACATATTGAGTATAACATTAAACTTCAGAAAGAGTAAAGCAGGTCATCCCCCCCCACACATTTTTTTTAGTGGAAATGTTTTATTCATTCAAAAAGTTGGAGGAAATGCTACACATGCGCATGGTAATTGAAGTCGTGCGCTGTGAGACACTTTATTATTGAAATTGTCTCTGAGAAGCTTACATTTATTTTAGGATAGCTTTCTGTGAAATGGCTTCTGGCCATGCAGACAGCTTTATTCAGTGCCGCTTTAGCTAGGTTACATTGAGTCTCCCAGAATCCTCTGCGTGGTTCCCATTCCGGCTGGTGACAAAAGCTTTATGCTTGAGACTGAGAGGAAGCAGGGCCAGGCAGAAGGCTTTATATTTAGTGGGTCAGCTCACATCCATGCACATAATCTACACTCGCCACACATCTGTTCGCTCTCATGTTTGGCAGACAGCCACCCCTCAAACTCCTGCTGGCCCCTTGTTTCTGTGAGATTTAGAGCAGGTATGTGGGCTGTTCTGATGGCAGACTGGCTTTGCTAGGTCACCCACATCAGTGGTGAACTCCTGACTTGAGTACCAGTTTGCCCTCTTGGTTTATCCTTGCTCCCCCTGTGCTTTTCCTTCCTAGCTGTCTGCCCTGAGGACTGAGCCCTAATAGCTTTAAGCTCATCTCTAGATCCCCAGCCAGTAACAAACACTCTAATCTGACTCAACTCCAACTAGGCTGCTCTAAGTCCCCTTCTTGAGTAGGCCCTGGGTCTTGGCCTCTCTCCTTAGCTATTTAGACCCATGTTTAACCTGAATCCCACTTAATCAGTTCAGCAGATTCACATCCGTGGCACCTGAGCACTCCGATCTGCCTTCAGCAAAATCCTGTCAAGTTTATCCATCCAGAATCCCCTTTACCTCTGGCATTTCTTTCCTCTGACTGCTTTTCCACTCCCTGATCTGCTCCTGGGCTGTAAGTCCCTGGTTGTTCTTTGGTCTTCGTTGTTGAGCTGATTTTTTTTTTCCAGGACCAAAACGATCTTTCATAGTTGCTCCTTAAATCAGCACGTCTTTAATCCCAGCACTCAGAAGGCAGAGGCAGGCAGATCTCTGTGAGTTTGAGTCCAGCCTGGTCTACAGAGTGAGTTCCAGGACAGCCAGGGCTGGTACATGGAGAAACCCTGTCTCAAAAAACCAAACAACAAAGCAGCATCATTTTACTGATTTTTACTGTCGCAACAGCCTTCTGCAGCCTCCCCCCCCCCCCGTAGCCTCTGTGACTTGATTGTGATACTTTAGCCATCTACATTTGAACCTTTTCCTCCCCAGCTTCTACCTAAAGTTTGTGTGGTTTCAGCTCTAATTAGTCTCTTGTTCCCAGCACCCATGTGATCTTGCTCTCTAGGCAAAGACACTGTGGATACCATAGCTGTACATAGGCACCATAGCTGTACAACACAATTTGGGAGCAACAGGGACCTTAGGGTGATACACAGAATGTCCTTCAACCTGAATTAGGTGTGCCCTGATAGGGAAGAAGAGAAAGGAAATTTACTAGAATCTAAAGTTGTCAAGTTATGTTAAAATGTCCCCTAAACTTAAATTAGATATTCAGGGGAAGAATACTTAGGCTAACTAGAAACATTTTATGATGATGAAATTTGAAAAAGTAAGTACTTTGATTTTATAGCACCACTTCCCAGAGCAGGAGACCAGAGATCAGGAAAAGTTATGCTGATGTTGTATCAACAGAAAAACATTTAGAAGAACTGAGAAGTCAGATGATTGGATGAAAACTATTACCTGTAGTACCATCCATTTTAATATCCAATCTTAAGAGCTCTGAAAGAATAATGTATCGTTTACATAAAGTCAGACTGTGGAATCTTTTCACTTGGCAGCTTTGTGTGTCAGAAAGGGGCAGAAAGAACGCTTTAGGAAAAAGTGGGGCATTGTTAGATCCTATACATTCACTTCCCAGACATAAAGCTGGCGTTCATGTGGGAAGCAACATAACATTTGCTTTTCAAGAAGAGTAATTGTTTAATTGAACCCTTGTGTAGTACAAGATCACGGTGTACAATATATGCTTTGTATAATCCACTGTGTTTACTACAACAGCACATGCTGTGTATAATCCACTGTATTTACTATAACAGCGTGTGGAAGGTTTGCTTATTTGCTGAGCCCTCCCGCTTCATCACCTTCTAAAATAGCACAGGCAGGAATTCTCTGGATTTCTCACTTGGTAATCTTAACTGTCCACGTGTGAGTTTGAAACCTCAGTGTCACACAGTTCTGCTTGACTTCCTGATTGTGCCCTCTGTGGGACCTCATTTAAGCACAGAAGCTAAGTGGTGCATGAGGGATCAGGGTGCGGGAGGTGGGAGTTTGTGTGAAAGTCACAAGAGCTGGCGACAGACACGAAAGGCAGAGAAGGTAGTTTATATGTATATACATATGAAACAGGTGTATGTGGTGGGACAGATCTCTCACTTTCTAATATATTTTATTTCTGGAATCATTTATTTAAATTCAGTTCTCCATTAGGAAAATTCAGTATGAAAACAAAGCCATTCAAGAAGGCATATGTGGGACATTCCCCCTACTCTCCCACATCTTTCCTCTCTTCCTTTAAAAGATGAAATTCCTGGGTGTGATGACGTAAGCCTGTAATCCTAACATCTGATAGGCTGAGGCAGGAGGATATGAAGTCCCAGGTCAGCCCACTGCACAGTAAGAACTTGTCTCAAGAAACTTTGAACAAACCAGCAAACAATGACAACAACAAACTACAGAACAAAAGATAAAGACAGGGGGAAAGGAAAGAATAAAAGGAAAGGAATGGATACAAAAAACTCTACTCCCCACCCCAATTAAAAATCATACAAAATATAAGGGTACAGAGACAGACCAGAAAGCATTAAGAAAGAAAAGGGAGGTCCTTTCATAACCAAATACTTAGTCGGTACTAATCCTCAAATGTGGGTTAGACCCTGGGTCCTTGTCCTCCAGTGTCTGACTTTTCTACCTCTTAGGTTGGATATAGTCAAGTCTTTTAAACCTGAGATCCATGTGCTTTAAATTACCATCACCCTTACATAATGTCTGTCCTATCGAAATCTGAAACAGTTGCATGGAATCAAATTTTTATTGTATTAATCCTGCTCAGAGCCTCAGTTTTAGTTAACTATCCTTTTTTTTGTAAGATACTTGACATTATGTGAAAATACTGACTGTATAAATGCAGTTTGATAATTAAAATAGTGGTGGAAAAAAAGTGTGTGTCCATGTCTGCCATGGTGAGACTGTGGTCTGCTACAACCAAAGGTTGCAGGGGGACTTTTCTGTCCCACCAGTTGCTCCCCAAAATAACAACACAGAGACTTAATAGTAATTTTACAAATGCTCAGCCGATAGCTTAGGCTTATTTTTAGCTTACTCTCATAACTTAAATTAACCCATTTCTATTAATCTATGTGCTCCCCTGAGTCCTATTTACCTCAGGTACATACTTCCCATCCTGCTTGCTCTGTGTCTCATGACGTCTCCCTTGACTCTGTCCTTCTTCTCCCCAACATTCTCTCTGCCCCCCCAAACCCTGCCTAACCATTGGTCAATCAGCTTTTTATTAACAATGAGAGAAACACCTCTTCACAGTGTACATGCAGAAGGACTATTCCTCAGCAGAAGGCATCCGTTAGTTTATTCAGCAAGTATTTGT